TAAATAAATATATAGTAATGTCTGAAAATGAAAATTATACTATTAATGATTTAATGAAGAAGATAACATTAATTAGTAAAAATATCAAAAACTTAAATGATATGATTAAATCCATTGATGACAAAATGAAACCAGTTGAAAGCGAACAGCAGGAGAAGGAAAAAATCGAAAAGATATTTCAAGCAAAATCTATAGGAAGACCATCGGGTGATTATCCTACAAAACAAAAGAAATACTGTGATATGTTGAATACAGGAAAAATCAAACAACCTAAAAGCACCACTTTAGAATTTTACAAAATTTCAAAAAATGATGATGGAGTATATGTATTATTTGAATAATTAATATCTAAGTAATTCTGATAATATGAATTTATTAGAATTATTTAGCGGAACAAAAAGCGTTGGAACCATAGCAAAGTCGCTTGGATTTAATGTAATATCAATAGACTTGAAAAATGCTGATATCAACACTGATATTTTGGAGTGGGATTACAAGCAGTTTGACAGAAACCATTTTGATTTTATTTGGAGTAGTCCCCCATGCACTGAATATAGTGTAGCAAAAACTAGGGGAACTAGGCATATCGAATATGCAAATAGTATTGTCTTAAAAACTATTGAGATTATCAAATATTTCAATCCTAAATATTTTGTAATCGAAAATCCACAAACCGGATTATTGAAACATCAGGAGTTTATGGATGAGTTTGATTTTAAAGATGTAGATTACTGTAAATATGGAATGCCTTACAGAAAACGCACTAGGCTCTGGAATAACATTACAACTTGGAAACCTAGAAATTTATGTAAAAGGGATTGTGGCAACATCAGGAATAATAAACATATTGAAACTGCACAACGGCTACCATCGGGCACCAAGGAAAATTGGGGAGACAATCCAACAATACATAAGCAGGAAGACCTATATAAAATACCTAGCGAATTAATTTGTGAAGTCTTAGTGAGTTTGACGGATTAAGGATTTTGAGTTTGGGGTTGGGCTTGAAACTTGAAATTTCTAGGTTCATCCAACGACAACACAGTAAAAAATAAGAATTCAAAAAACATGAAAATATTAATTTTTAAGGGGATAATCCATCGTTTATCAAATTTTTGAAAACACCAATATTCATATCGATACATCAGGAAACTCTCGCCAATTGCCAAACAGGGCAGGGAAAAATTGGCGAGAGTTTCCACTTATATTATATATATATACCCCGCCCCAGTCCTTACCTAGTAGGGCACGGTCTGGAAGTCAAAGGCGGTGATGAAGATACCTGCGCAGACAAGGATGCGACCCCACCCCCCAAAACAAGAATACACAATATGCCACAAATAAACAACTCTACACAAGCACAACTTGCATTTTTGCCATGGCCGACAGATGGTGAAATCGGTTTCTGTTCAGGCTTGTTTCCACAGCACCAACTTACAATCAATTGAGCCCTTCAACAGGGGGATTAACATGGCTTGTTTTTTGGATTAACATGGCTTGTTTTTTGGATTAACATGGCTTGTTTTTTGGATTATCATGGCTTGTTTTTTGGATTAACATGGCTTGTTTTTTGGATTAACATGGCTTGTGAAATGTGGTGCTATGAAATGCAAATCAGCCCATATTGACATCAGCATCCGCAGCGGGATATGCTGAACCAGACACTTGCATTTCAGCAAAGCGCCTCGCGAATTCAACTTCCATTTCTTCTTTGAATTTCTTTCTCAAGACATCCTCATTTTTCAGCTCCTTCTCACGGTTTTCAAGCATCTTCTGGATAGGCGTCAAGTTGAAACGCCCGTTGGTGGACATGAACTCCTGATGGAACTTGTATTCAAAGGCGGTCTCAAGCAAGGCACGAGCCCCCTTTAACTCTTCAATCTGGCGGTTGATGTTGGAAATCTCAAGGACAAAGTGCGGGGCAAACTCCATGGCAAAGCGGTCGCCATTTGATGCGCCAGTGTTCCAAGTGTCCCACATCTTGTAGAGCTCATCGACATCAACCTTGGAAATGGCATCGGCGACATAAGTCTCAGAAATGTCATTGCGAATTTGATTAGCAAGGTTGATGTAGTTGGCGGCGGCACTCACCTTGTCCTTTTTCTCGCGGATTTTAGCGTCAATCACTGAAAGCTTGTCCTTCTTCTTGATTGTAGGCAGACCCCCGCCACGAAGCCTCAAGTGCATAGTCAAATGCAACTCAGTGTCACCAATGCCCAAGTAGGTCTGCAGGTGGATGTCCTCATTCATTTTTTCGCGCCCATGCATCAGGTAGAAGTCCTCCTTCTGAAGCGTTGGTGACCAAGAAACTCCAGCAACATGCGAGACAATGCAGTTCTTGAGGTGCTCAACCGACGACTCAAAGGGCATGACAAGGACAAAAAGCTTTCTGCCACGCGGCTCATGAAGGTGAACCTTCAAGCTCTTCTCCTCCCCCTTCATGTTTCTGTCAAGGAAGTCCTCTAAGTCCAGCAACTTGTAGACAGTCAACTCCTCCTCGTCCTCGCTTATCTCATGCTCATCCAAGTGGTAGTGCACCTTCACGGAAGACATCTTGCCCTTCTTGTCCTTCATGTCCTTGTCATCCTCAAAAATGATAGGAGCATAGCCACCCTTGTTCATGATGGTGTCCCAATGCGTGGTGACCATCTCATCGATCCGCGGCTTGGTGTTCCAAGTTTCAGCGCCACTTGTCCGAACTTTCAAGCCAACCGACGCCATCATAGTCTCCAGAGTTTTCTTGGAAAGTTTGGGCAAGACGATGGGCAAAGCCTCTGGAATGACGATAGAGGCAAGGTATTTCCACTCCACAATGCCATAGCCCTTCAGGGTCTCGATAATCACAGGGTAGAGGACGCCACCCTTCGCAACGAAGAGAATGCCAGAGCCCTCTGTAGTCAAAGCTTCTTCGGTTGTTGGAGTGAAAACAGCACATCCCATCACACCAGCGAGCTGTTCCAAGATGCGATGCCAGTTGTCACAAATGACACTCAGCAACTTGCCCTTGTCATAAGACTTCTTGAAGGGGATGTTGCCAGCATCAAGCAATTCCTGTAGCGCCTTCTTACCAGCGCCAGCATATGCAGTCTTGACATTGACAAGGCTGACATGCTTTGTCGTCAAATCATTCCCATGGATGCTGGCAAACCCATCCAAGGAAGAGCACCATTGAGGGGTCATGCCACGACCATCACGGGTGAAAATGATGGACATTTCCAAGACCAAATAGGTTGCCTAACTCACTGCTTCTCAAGCCAGACAGCCTAGTAGATGAACAAGCGTGTCAAGCAATCAAAATTGCAATGCTGACATTCACTGACCACTCCCCGGCAAACAAGGTCAGGCGCACTGGACGAGGAAGAAGATACCGGAGCGCAGCGCCGGTGCCGACGGTTGCCACAGAAACCCTAACATAAAAACCCTAAAATCCTACAAGGGACACCACGCCTAAAAAAATATATGATAAAAGTGATGAAACGAAGGAGGAGAGTGATGTTGTTGCCGTTCTATTTTTTGTCCGAGAAATGGACAAATCGTTTTTAGACAGTTCGATTTTTTTTTGATGACACATATTTTTTGCAATATATTTTGCAAAATCTATTTTTTTGAAATGGATGAGGTGAGGAGATTGAGGAAATGACATTTTGAAGGGTAGTTGGTGAAATGAATGAGGCGAGGAGGAAGGAGACAAGGATGGCGAAAATTTTGGAAAAATGATGAGAAAAAACGGATGAGATGGACAGAAAGGAATGTAGAAAAATGATGAAAACAAATAAGGGTAGAAGATGGAAGATGAAAAAAACATGTAGGGGGGGGGGTGTATGTATGAAAGCAATTTATTGCTGGGCAAGGCCCTTGACTACTGATTCCGGGGTCGGAGATGGTTTGGATTGACTAAAAGTCGCACCAGTTAGTTGCTGGTTTGGCTCAGTTTTCATAGGTGTTCATCCATCCCGTCGTGAAGTGATTACGACACGAAGGAACGATGGATGCACTGATTGCTGTGGCCACGCCGGGGTTTGCGTGGCCAAATCCTTGTCTTTTACGGTGAGCAAAAGGGCCGTGAGTTCCCGAAGGAAACGGCATCGCCGGCTTCCGTGAGTTTCTTGCCTTTATCCCATCCTTCTCGGCAAGGAAGGACGCACCCCGTACATCCTTGCAGGTTCCACGATGGTTCTAGGCGTGCCGCTGGCTCTTGAGAATCGGAGGGCCAAAGAACAACTGCCGGGGGACTCCAGAAAGATTCCACCAGGACTTTTGGTTAAGGTCGCAGGCTGAGACACGGAAGCGCTAGTCTGATGCCCCATGCAACTCATCAACCCTGTGCTTTCAGACAAAGCGTGGCTTCCCAATGATGAACAATACACCGTAGCGGCACAGCCAAAGCTTGGCAATCGCCAACACCCCCTTTCATCATACAAACACACACCCAGAGCGGTGTTGCGCACGCACTGCCTCACATGTTTCGCGTTTGGATGTCGGGTCAGGGCCGGGCATGTGTTTGAACAACCAGCACGTGGTTCCCCTAAACAAGGGGGCACAAGAAGCTGTGTAACTGGGCTCTAAGTCCATATTTCTTTGTTTCACAGGAAGCTCAAAGCGGACTGGCGATTTGCGTGCGCGCACTAGTTGACACCCGGCTTAAAACTGTGGGTTCCCAAATGTTTTCTTGAACTCGCCATGGTCTAAATCAGAGACCTGTCAAGGTTCGGGCGCTGCGATCCACGCGGTTTTTCAATTCCCAAGGGCCTTGACTTTTTTTTTGGCTCGTCAAAGGGAATTCAGGTTTCCCTCAGTTCGTGGCTTGGATTGGTTTGAGGATTTGAACCTCTGCATCTTTCCTCGTCCAAACCACTAAGCCCAACCACCAAATTAAAGGGAACCTGAGGAATGTCTATTGGGGGCCAAAGGATTTTGGCCTTCGACTTTTTCGGGCTACGGCGAGCCATCAGATTGGCCAACACTCGACTCATACGAGCCCAAAAGGCTGGCTGTGCCAGATGTGGGCGTTTCGGGAGGGATCAAAGGGCACCACTCCATTCGGTTGTGCGTGTGTGTGTGTGTGTGTGTGTGTGTGTGTGTGTGTGTGTGTGTGTGTGTGTGTGTGTGTGTTGTTTTTCTTCTTTTTTTCCCCGGGACCCCCCCCCAGAAAGAATAATTGGTGGCTTTTCCCTATGGTTTCCCTTCAAACCAACCACAACAATGGCCCCGAGCCTCTAATTTGAACGCGGACGGGCCGACGGTTTTGGATGGCAGGAGTCGCTGCGGCCGATCCGGGGCGACCTGGCGGAGGCGGTGCAGACGTGCCTGGAGGCGGCACTCTGTGAGCAGGGGGGCTTCAACCACCTGCTGAAGGCGGGGGGAAGGGGGGGGGAAGGGGGTTGCCTCAGGCAAGAAGCGAAAAAGCGAAGCGACCTTTGATCTGACCGGATATGGTGATCTGGTTTTCCGTTTGTTGGGTTCCAAGTTTTTCGGCAGCCCGAAAGGTGAAGCGATGTTTTTTTCGGGGCAACTGAGGGAAGGGGGGACCAGCTGCAGTTGAACAGGCCATGTACTTTCGCCATGTTTTCAGAGCCGGTAAAAGAAGTGGTCCGACCCAAGGCTTAACCAGAAAGGGAGGGGGGGCGGTGAAAAAGTCACAAGGCACCAGGAAACCCATAGCTTTGAGAATGGGGGATTTGCTTTGGTTTCCCACTGGTCCCTATTTTGTACAAACCCATGCCAGATTGGCATTGCTTACTCAACCGGGTGCTCGTCAATGCTGATTTCTTGGCTCTTCGCTACCCAAAAAAGTGGCTGTGGGTCAAAACCAATGGGATCCCATTTTGGTTGGTAGGTGAATGCACCACCCATTTCAGTCCAGTTCAGTGGGGATTGGGATGTTCAGTTGGGATCGGGCTTTTGACCCATGGCCAAGTAGGTCTGGGTCCGGGGCTTTCGCTTCTCCCCCCGCAATTTGAACGCCGAGGCCGCGAGCTTCGGGCGGCACTTCGCGGAGTCCGCGGGGCCGCCGGACCGGCACCGGGAGGCACCTGGGGTGGGTGGGTGGGTGGGGGGATGGGTGGGGGCAGTGGTTAAATGAATCCTCAGAATGGCCGGGAGCTGGTGTTTTTTCCTTTCTTTTTTGGTTGCTCAACTCGGACTTTTTCAAGTCTTTTTCTGATTTCCTTGCCCTGTTTTGGAGCGAAAGGTGGAGTTCTTGCAGGGTCTAGTTGCCTTTCCTTTCACTCGCTTTTTCATATGCCAGTGCCATATATTTTGCAAAAAGTGATAGCTATGTTTCAGAACCTTGCCTTTCCAAGCTTGGACTTGGACTGGATCCAGATTGCGCAAGGAGTGCCGGGCTTGCCTCAGTCCGCACGTTTGGACCAGCTGTGAGGCTCTCAGAAGCGGACACCCTCCCGTCTCGTAAGTTCCATGCGGAGCGTGGATGTTTTGTTTGCCAACCCCGTTCCAAGTTTTTGCCAAAAGAGCGTGTCTCTAAATGCAAGGTGCGGCGAAGTGGTTTCCTACTGGCTTCCCCTAAGCCGTCCCCAAAACGCGAGTCTCGGGAATGGCAAGTGCTATCGTGTACCTCGAGGGTTTATGAGCCTATAGAAATCCTTTTGCGTGGATCCTTGTGCGTCTCAGGTTGTCACATGTGTCTGGGTTGTTCCGAGCTTCTCAAAGGATGATCACAAGGCCAGAAAGTTGCTTTGCATTCCTTGAGTTTGCTTTCCTTTGGATTGCCCGAACCTCCTACCAGCTTGTGCCCGATCGGGTCGAGCGTTTTTTGTTGTTGTTCACGCTCCTCCCGAATGGGCCTTATGCGCGCACTTCATGTCAGGTTCCCCCTAGTTGGCGGTTTGACTGGTTTGGGGATTTGAACCCTTGTTTTTGAAGCGCTCCGCCCACCCAAACCACCAGACCAAACAATCTCAGGCGACTGAGCTTCCTTCCAATTGCAATTTGGTGTGTTTTTGTCTTTTTTGTTTGTTTTCTGGTTTTTGTTGTTTCCCTGGGGAGTTTCCCTTTTAACACACACACACACACCCTTTTAAGGGTCAGGAGGTGGCGCCAAGCAAAGCACACACACACACACACCCGGCGCCTCCAAGAAACGCTTAGGCGCGCCTGCGCCCAGAAGCGCGCAGTGCAAGCGCGCCTGCGCGTGCGTCGGGGGGTCGAGGCCTGCCGCAGCCTGCGCATCTGCACGGAGCTGCGGAAGGCGCCCATCGAGATACCCATCACGGCCCAGCAGCTCGAGAAGCTGGGCATGGCAGGTCGGTTGGGTTGGGGGGTTTGGGGGTGGGGGGGGGGCTTTGGCAATGAAACCAGGGATTCCCTTAAAGTAAACCGCAGAGGATGGTTTATAGGGGTCATTTCCTCATTCCCTGCTGAGAGCAAGCAAGTACTGGATGCTCTCGGACAAGTTGCCCTCAGCAGGGACATGAGATGGGCCGTTGACGTGGCATCCTCAAAATGGCCCTCGTGGCGATTTTTAGACCTGCCAGCGTGAAAGGGAATGACCCCCATAAACCATCCCATTTGGTCTCCTTTAAGGGGATCCTGAGGTTCGTTCCCAACACCCGGAACGGTCATTCCCGACACCAGGAAGTTGTTGAATGGGGGGAGGGGGTGGGGCAGTTTTTTTTTGGGTTGTTGTTGCTTGTTTGAGTTTGAGGGGCTGGTGGCGTTTGGGGTTTGGGTGGTTTGGGCGGGTGGTTGGGGCGGTTTGGTGGCTTTGCCACGATCGGGGTCTTCCCACCGAAAGGAAAGTAGTAACGTCCAGAACCCTCCTGTCAGCTGAGCGTTGCAGGCTGCGGGTTGATGGCGGGGGTGCAGCGGTTGGGCTGGCTGAAGCGGCCGGTGTTTCGTGGCTTTGCTGCCGCGATCTTGCTTGGAAGAAATATGGCTGTGGGCCAAAACCAATGGTACCATTCTGGGGAAGGTGCACCACCCATCTTAGTCTATTTTAGTGGGGATTGGGATGTTCACCGAGCTGAAGAAGCTGAACTGTTGCGCTTGGGCCGAGGCGGGAGATGTTCCTTGGGATGGGGTGAAAGCTCCCTTTTGGGCCTGGATGGTTTCTTAGGAGTGCTTTCCCTCCAACAGTCGGCCCGACAGTGCTGATTCAGGGGCACCCCCCTGAACGACAAAAGCCGGGGTTGATTAAACCCCTCCCCCCCAACCCATGAATAACCCGGGGTTGATTCACCCCTCCCCCCTCCCCTCACTAAACTGGGGGTGGATCCATTCATCCGGTTCTTCCCAGGACCCCCCCCCCCCCCTTCCACAAAAACCAACGGGCCCCCAATTTTTGACCCGAACACCGGCCCCGGAGACTCCACGCCCCGCCTCGCCCCGGCCCGGCGGACTCCTCGCGTGAGGCTTGACGCTGCGCCTGGCGCAGCGGCATTTCCACCTGCTGGGGGCCAGGATCTGCGAGTGGGTGGGCCACTGCCCGGAGAAGATCCTCTTCCACTGGGCGGCTCGTTGACTCGCGAAAGCTTTCGCGACAGCAGTGGGGTTTGTCTACCGGGGGAGGGGGGGGGCATCTCGATGCTTCAGCTTGGTGTTCCTGTCGCGGTCGGTTCGATGGACAGCACATTGGAAATTTGATCATCCATCCCAGAACCCTGTCCCGAAGCTGGTAAATGGGTGGCTCGCCTTTGCAGGCGAAGGATAACCCCTGCTTTTGGTACGCCATTTTGGAGGACCCTAACAAAGAGAGACCCAAATGGACGCAAGCAATGTCGACATTGACCTTAGCTTTGGTTCATGCCTGTCACCACATGTCGCGCATCTTTTTTTTAGGAAGACATGGGCTTCCTCTTTTGAAGAGGGGAATTTCTGGACTTGATTTCAGTGGGTCTTTTTTGAGGGCACCCTTCTGGGGGTTTGAAACGGGAGCCAAAGGGTCACCCGAAGAACCTTCAGGGGAAATGCAAAAGAAGGTCCCTCAGAAAGACAAGGCCGCGTGAGCCACAATCAAAAACCCGGATAAGGGATAATCCCAACCACAATTGGGTGCAACCACCTTCTTGATTCTTTACATGGTTCCGGGTAGGCCACTTTCATACCAGGCCTTGATTGCGACTTGCGCGACATTCCTTCGGAAAGCCTCCAGTCGCACTTTGGGAGCGACCCTTTGACCTCTAACCCGGGGCCCCGGAGTGCCAGGGCCCCCATAGGGGCCCCGGCGCCATTTTTCTCGAGGGACCGCGGACTGGGATTCCAGTGATCTGCCATCGGAGTTTTCCAGGAAAGCATGAGCCTTCAAAATGGTATCCTTTTGGGCAGGTCTGGGTTGCAGTTTCTAGCATGGGTGTGTCTTTTTCAGGGGTGCCCAGTTTTGGTGGAGTTCAAGGCAAACCAACAGGGAACAACCCATTTTGCGAGTGTCTTCATTTCAAGCTCGGAGCCGGACCTCTTCTCATTCTTTGGGGAATCCCAAAATCCCCAAGTTTCAGGCCATGTCCAGAGTTTCTGGGTGGTTTGGAGTGGTGGGAACCGGGGAACTTCGGATTTTCATCTTGTCGCCTTGGGTCAATGGGGTTTCCCACTGAACATCCAAACTGGGCTCCAGAACACCAAGTTGGGAAGCTGGGTGGACTGGGACATACTGGGATAAACCGTTTGGAGCGTCTCCTCATTTGCATGAATCCACTTCTCTTGTGACGTTGCTGCTGTGCTTTTGGAATGTCCATCTCGAGTTACTCCTCACAATCCTTAGGTGAGTTTGGGGGTGGTTCCGCTAGTCGGAAACGATTCATCTCATCGAGCCCTTTGGATCTTCGGCTTCTGTGGCACAACCATCAAAAATGAAGGGAAACAGCTGGTTTTTGAAAGGAACGATGGTTGAAAAGAATGGGGAACCGACCCCTAGACCAATGCTTGTAGTGGGGTGTCCCGAAAACTTCTTGAAGAGAGAGGAGTGGCTGGGAGTTGAGCCGAAAACACCCACGAGCCAAGTCATCTCACGCCAGGGTTGGCGTGGTGGTCATGCAGCCCCAAAAGCAGAACCCGCAAAACAACAGTACACACGCTTAGGCATCAAAATTGCAAAAACATGTTGAGAGCAAGGAACCCCCCAAAGGTTGCTTTACAAGGGCTACGCTCCAACTGTCAGCTGGCTTTTCACCGTGGGCCAAGGCCTGCGCCAAGATCCGGAGGCAGTGGGGGGCGCTTGTCACACCACCCTTCCGGGGCACCCAGGAGGACGAAAAACGGCCAAAGCTGCCTGGAGTCTCCGTGGCCCTCGAAAGATGGGCGTCATGATCCAAAATTAAGGGGTCGTGGCCCTTTTTCTGGGGGTCATGGAGGCTCTAGGTGGAGCTGTTTGTTCTTTTTTTCCTTGCGGTGTGTGTCAACTTCGGCGAGCGCGACCCCGCCAGCGCCAGGGCCAAGGGCTCGCCCCAGACGGACGAGCAGCTCTGCCACGCCATCTTGGAGAAGTTCCAGCGCTGCCCGGGCATCGGCCGGGCTCCCAGGGGTTCGGGGGACCCCGCAAAATAAATCCGCCGGCCGACTGGACGCGCCCCAAGAAAGGGCCACCGAGTTTTGGAGCGGATGTGGGGGGTGCCAAGTGCTCGGCGTGGAATTTTTCAGAGCCGACAGCCAATGAAGTTGAAGGGAGCTCAAGCCGTTTTTTACCCCGCACGCCACGGCCTCCAAGGCTTCGCGGAGGTGGCGCGGGTGGCGGCGGAGATGTATCGCCCGCATTTGGCCACGCTGCTGTTGAACCACGAGCCCCGGAGCCACGCGCAGATCCAGGCGCAGTTGCGTTTCTATGTTGTGTTGTTTTGTGGGGGGAGGATACGCTGAAGTGAGCTCTCTGTTCTGAAGGGGGGGGAGGTGCTCAAGACTGCTTGGGGGATGTCTTTGGAGAATTTTGGGGCGCATCACAACTAGGGATCAATTTCACCCCCCCCCTCCCCTCCCCAAAGCAAAGCAAGAAAGAGCCATGGTTGATATCCACCCCCATGGGCTTCCCCTCATACCAAACAACAAGAAACACTCCCGCTACAGCCCTCTTTTGCGAACTTTCTCAAAAGGCAAAAAATGAAAACGTCGACTCCCCCCCTTTTCGGCCCGTTCTTGTTTTTTTTGCCGTACGCCTTGAGCCTGGGAAAGAAAGACCTTTTTGTGCCGACGGGATTCGGCTGCGCGGGGACGCGGACGCGGACGCGGATGCCTTCGGAGGTCTTGGTGCAGCTGAGCCGCGGGGACGAGAGGGACCGGGAGATCATGCTGCGCCTGGCCTTCGATAAGGCGGCGAGGAGCTGGGACCCGGATCTGGCGCCATGGCCGCGGCTGGGGGGGGTTGGAGTTAGAGATGGCCTCTCCCGTCCGCATTTTGCCATCCGGTCCTAGGGTCCCCCCCCCACACTTTTGGGCACAATTCAAATACACCCACTAAAACAGCCTATTTTCAACATTCAAATTCAATCACCCACCCAATCCAACGCCAAAAAACACATATTCATATACCCATCTTCATTTCTTACCCCATCTCAACATCACCCTTACACTCATTCAATAACAACAATCATAACTACATACCACCTCAACAAATCCCACCAAAAAAATCCAAGCTACATACCAACATTTTTTCATTCCCAAGATCGCAACCCCAAGATCTCAATAATTTCTCCCTTGATCCAACCTGAGACCCTTTCCCATTTCCAACAAATACGAACAGTCTAAAAAAAAACCCTATGTTCACCCCCGAAAAGTCGTTAACCAATGGAAAAGGGAGAATTAAAACCGTTAACCCAAATCTTGAAAACAATCCCAGTAAAATATGGATGGCAAAATGCGGATGGGAAAGGCCTATGTAGGAAAGCACCCCCACGGCTTATACGGGAAAATTAAACTAAAATTACAACATATAAGATCTTATATGTTGTAACTATAGTATAATCAAGAACTGAAACATTCATCTCAATAATAGCTAGCCGCGCTTTCATTATCGCTAAATTCTTCATCCTCGTCATAGAAGTCTTCCGTGCTTAATATACGATAAAATTGGATATGCCATTCTGCCTCTGTTCTGAATGGCATCATTTCCAACATTGCTCTCATTGCGTCGTAATAACCAATTCTCAAGTGTTTTCTTTTGTCATCAATACTATCAATGAACCAGAGCTGTTTAAATTTATTTTCAATATCATATATGTAGGAATAATTATAGAACGCTTTCAATTCTAAATATATGTCATAATCAGATTTGGTATCATCCAATGCTTCAGTTAAAGTCATTGCCCAGAATGGGTTTCTTTTTGCTCTTTCCCAAGTTGGAAAATGGTTTTTAAGAATATCATTATACCTGTAAGGACATATATCATAACAGTGATATGACATAATATTCAATCTAATTTCCAATGGTAGATGATTAATGTCGCACATACTTTACTTAATATATTAAGGTAATATTTCTTTAAATACATTTTCAGGGAAACAGAGACACATGTTTTCAATCAAGAATAAATCCCTGTATCTTCATCATAGTCAATTTGATAAAATGTCATAGTTGAAGCCTTCGGTTCTTTAATTTCTTTGTTATTAAGCTTGTTTAAATAAATATTTCTTTTATTTCTATATTCACCATTGGTTCTATCTACTTCTTTACTTTGATAACTGTTTGTTGATGGTTTATTCTTTTCCATTTCTTGCAAGATTTCTAAAATATTCTTGTTCTGTTCTAAAACCTTGTTCAGTTTTTTAACAATCTTTTCTAATCCTTCATCCATGTAAATATATATATATTATATTATAAAATAAAACTTTTAAAACTAAATGTTTAAATTATGTTAAATCTACTCTTTTAAATACTATTCTTTCATCATTTGTTTAATAGTTTCCTGAGTTTCCTTATCACCATTAACGGATGAGTTTATATTTTGTTGTTCCTTCTGTTTGTGGTATTTTTCCCTGCTTTTCCTGTTGATTTCTTCTCTATGTTCTTCTTTATATATTCTTGCTCTTTCTTTGTATTTTTCAGCATTTCTTAAATATTCAAGTCTTTTTCCCGCCTTTATCTGTTCTTGGTGTTTTTCACGGTACGCTTTGTTATCCCTTGCCTTTTGTTGTTTGAAATATTCGGGGTTGTCCTGTTTAAACTCTTGTTCAGTTCTTCCCGGCACTTTAATGTTTAGTGTTGGTTTCCACTCTCGTATTATTTCGCCTTCTCTTTTTTGTAACCTACTTTTGTTCTCACAGGGGCATTCTTCAATTAATTCAATGTAGCAGTTTTCATATCCGTGTTTTATCATAAATGGATAGATTAATGTATTTTGTCGGTTTTGTTTCTTCATATCGCCTCTATGCTGTGCCATTCTTTGACTTAAACTTTGACAGGTGCTTCCAATGTAATAATCTTCGGTTATATTATTTCTAATACAATATATTTTACCGTTTTGATAATTTTTAGTATTTTTCACTTTGACACTATCCATATTGTTATATATTGTTTTTTATTGTTTAAGTAGTTTTCATTATTTGTTTAACAGTTTCCTGTGTTTCGTTTTCTCCATTATCGGATGGAGTAGCGTTCCGACCCCATTTAAATGTAATATTATGAACATCTGTTTCTAAGTTGATACTGTCTTTAGTTTTATCAATATTCATTTTCTTATCATTCTTACTTAGTTTGAAACTTGTCGGAATACACGAACATTTACAGTTTCCTTTCTTTTGTATTTCTAATTCATTCTTCATTTCTAACATCTTTTTACACATTGGACAAGCAAACTCAATAACTGATGTTTCTTTAACAACTTCTTCTTTTTCTTCATCAGTTGAAGAAACAACTGGTTCAGTCTTATTCTTTTTCTTTCTTCCCATTTATATTAATATTTACATTTTTATTTTTGATATATTGTATCACAAACTTAATTATTTCTAAAACAAAATAGCATATTTTCTTGCATCTATTATCAGTTATAACAACTTGTTCTAAATTCTCTACTTCATCTATTATATCAATATAATCTGAATAGCTTCTATTCATATAAAATAATAAATATAAAATATGTTCTAAATAACTTTAATATTATTTTATTATGTCAGATGTTCCAATAATAAAGCCAATAAACATAACTGAATATGAATTCAAACAATCTAAATATGAGCACGTGCCAAAATTACCATTTAGAAGTATTATAGTTGCGAGTTCGACAGGTGGCAAAACAGTCTTGGTTCAGAACCTTATCTTAAATGTTTATAGAAATTCATTTGCAAGAATATTTATATTTTCCCCCAGCGTTCATAATGACCCAACCTTTACAGAAGTTAAAAATATATCAGGGATGAATTGCACGTGGATGATGAAAAATAACAAATTTATTTTGATAATTATAATCCAAGTGATTTAGAAAATGTAATTGAAAGACAGAAGAAAATAATTAATTATATGAAATCTAAAAAGATAAAGAAACTACATTCAATATTAATCGTTATAGACGATCATGCCGACGATCCTAAATTTGTTAGATATAGTAAATTATTACATGGATTATTTACAAGAGGTAGGCACGATGCAGTAAGCGTAATTTGTTCAACACAAAAATACAATGTTTTGGCGCCTATCATTCGTTTAAATGCCAGTTCATTATATATTTTTAGGTTGAAAAATGCCAGTGAATTAATGAGTTTTATTGAAGAAAATAGCGCCATTGTTGACAAACAGCAATTATTAGATATGTATCATCAAGCCGTTAATGACGCACCTTATAGTTTCTTCTACGTGAATATGAATGCTAAGAATGTGAATGACATGTTTTTTATCCGTTTTGAACAGGCATTTCAAATTACAAATGATGAATAAAGATATTCTAATTTAATATAATATAATAATATGCCAATGAAACTATGTAGATGTGGTGGATTTTATCGTAGAGGTAATTACAATTTTCATACTAATTCTTGGATACATAAACTTTATAAAGTGTTAAAAAGACGACCAACAGACGAGGAATTATTAAGATTTCAAAATAATTTTGTTGATGAAGAAGATTTAATAGATGATATGTGTAGCAACGCCTCAACAAAATTACCCGAAAGTGAAATGACAGATTATGATAGTAATTAATAATATTAATGTATGTTAATATTATCAATTTAGAATAAAGAATAGCTACATAAATTTAAGGCAGGAAATTTATAATATGTTTTATCTTTTTTACATTCATTAACTTTTTCTAATTTATTTATTATTGCTTTCAATGAATTTATTTGTAGAATATCAATTCTTGACATTTCACTTATCGTATTTACATCTATATCTTTTATTACTTTAATAGCCTCTTCATCATCAATTTCTACTGGTTTTGATTTACTTGAACCCATTATATATAATATTATTTAGATTTTGATTTTTCAAAATTATATTTTTGTTTTTCTTCTCCGTCTTCTTCTTCGTCTTCAGTTGGTGCTGGTATTTCTGTTGGACTTTCAGATGAAGAACTATGAACAGTAATAGGTGGAGAACTATGAACACTAACAATTTCATTAGAAGAACTACTGCTACCTTGTGCATTTCCTGCTGTTATTTGATTAACTAAATCTGCGATATTTATTGTTGTTGCAATTGCGCTATGTGATAAGTTTAATATTATATCTGCTACTGTAGCGCCGTTGTGTAGCATTATTTCTATCATTTTTGTCAGTTTGAACTTCTTTTCTTCTTCATCGCTGTCCTCCTCGTCTGGTGGTTTCTTTGGCGGTGGTTCTGGTGGTTTGTTGTTGTCAAGCATTGTAGTAAAGGCTGACACCATTGCATCGCGTTGGTTTTTCAGTGTTTGTGTTGCTTGCGTTCTTGTTGGTTCATGTTTTTTGTATGCGTTGTGCCAAAAGTGTTTAAGCATTATTTTAAACATATTGTCTTGGTTTTCCTTTACCTTAAACGCTTCAAATGTCATATTTAATTGCTGATTTGCATCATTGTATAACTTTTCTTGAGTCTCTCTGGTTTCTGTGGCGATTGTATCTGTATTGGTTGCAATGTCAATAAATTCTCTCGGTATGCCCTTTTTCATCATTTTCGGTGGTTGTATTGTTGTTGGTGTGTTTGGTTTTGTTAGGTTATGTATTGAAAAACTGTCGTCGTGATCATAATTATCATTGAACTTCTGCTTCTTTCTTTTCAGTATATTTTTAGTTAATATAATCATTATTAATTGTATTTAGATATTAATATTTATGGATAGCCACTGGAACCGCTTGCACGACTGGGAGGCTTTGCTTGCGACTTGCTTCTTGCCCCTTCTACTTGTGCTTGCTTTGCTATGTATCTGTAATAAATCACGTTGCCGTAATATTTTCCTAAGTCTACCCTAATTGCATCCTTGCGGTCTTTTCCTTTGGCATTATCAAGCAACTGTATTATTTTATAATAGCCGTCAAACTCTCTTTCTGACACCAAACCTAAATCATACATATTCCTAACTACATTACTCATTTCGGATGTGTTATTAGCAAATTCACGCGGGGTTCTATGTTTAACGCTTGTCAATATTTCTAATGCTGGTTTGATAACATCCCACGTTTCATCAGAATGCCGTTCTTTTAAACGATCATATATTTTTGCATCTACTGGGCTCAAATTGGAAACTGTTCGCCCTTCCTCTTCTGCCTTTTCTACTACTTCTGCTTCTTGTTCTGCTTCTACTCCTGTGTCTGTTGATGATCTAGCGATATCCTGTATCTTTTTAGTGTAAAATTTGCTTGATCCAAGGGTATTGATTAGTGCCTCGCTCCCTTTTGCTAAAACATTTGCAAACGCTTGATTTCTTTTTTGTTTCGCCTCGGCGTTCTTTCTTGCCATCTCATTTAACTGTGCTGTTAATGATGCTTCCTGCATACTTTCTGTATCACGCTGAACCATTGGCTCTGTTTGTTGTTCCTGTGGTGGTGGTGCTTCTGCTTCCGTGTTTCTTCTATGAAGTGCATATGTGTGTCCGTTTCGGTGCGATTCTTGTTTCATCATTGCCTCTCTCATCTGCCTGTCTAATATTCTCATTTCTTGGTCTTTCAATAATTCTACATGGTCGCTTCCATCAAAAAAACTGCCTTGAGGACTTGCTTTAAAAAATGTAGCGTCTCTATTAGGTAGTTTTCCTGTTAATTGTTCGTTCTCGCCTATTAAATTAGCGATTTCTTCATAAGTAGGTCGTCGTTTCAATCCAAATTTTGCATATGGGTTTATTAATTCTAAACTTGCTGTAGTTGCCATATTGATATAATATTAATTAGAAAATATTGTTAATAATATTTTTGTGAAACATATTATTAATAATAAGATTTTATTGTATAAAATCATACTATATCAATATATTTTAAGTAAATGTTAATTTGTCCAACTCCTCGATCCGTTTTTTTAAATGCTCCTTTGTTGAATGTGGTAGATTTGGTCGGAGTAGTTCCATTGTTAATCTGTCTAATTCATTTTGGTAATTTGCTCTGACGTGTCCTTCTTGAATGTGTTTTCTAAATGCTACTGATGCTTCTTGTGAGTTTCTTAATTTCATTTGTTCGTGTAGGTGTTTTAGATACTCATTATCTTTTAGATCAAATGGACTATATTTAATTGTGAGGATTGTAAGAATACTCTACCTTTATTTTTTTAAATTATTTCGTTTATGAAATTTATACATTATATATTTATCATAGATTTTAATTTTAATCATAGAGCACAGATCCGCTTTCCCTTAATTCCAGAACAGACTCCGAAATCATATGCACAAATAATTCTCGCACATCTTCATCGGTTGTAAATGACTTGTTTGACCCTTTCAATTTAAAAACGAGTAAGCCGCCCATTTTAGTGTTCTGTCCAGTAAAATTAGTGTCTGCCATTTTCTCAAATGAAATCCCAATAACGAATTTATCTTCTCTGTAGCGTTTGTAGGAAATGCTAAAAGCATCTTGATCAGGGTTCATATAACTTAATGCTCGTTTTAAATAATATGCGGTTTCTGCCATTGATTGACATTCAAACTCTGGATATTTCTTATTATTAATTTGTAATTGCCAAGTCAAATCTAATTCAGGATTTTGAAAGCCTTTACCGCGGAATTGCGCACGGGTAAGATTACCATCGCCATCAACAGCATCTGGGTTAAAACCGTCAAAGATTCTTGAATTGACCATAGGATTGTAAAAATAGTTCCATCTCTTATAAATATAATTATCGTGTCTGTAGTAATTATTATTATCAGCATCTGCACCTGCTCTTGGTGGGCGATACAATGTAATGAAACAACCATTTAATTTAGAAGCGGATTTAACAATATTCATATTAATTTCAGTTCCTGCCGCGTTGAATGATTGCGTCATAGTGTGATACATTGGAAATACTAATCTCAAACTTTGAC